TTGAGTACGTGAACTTTCTTTCTTTTCATTTAACATCTTTGTCTTTATTCATCATTGTATTTTGTTTCCATCATGCCAATGTCTATTAAAGCTGAAATCTACCTCTGTCTAGGATCTGTTTATATAAAGCTTGTGCTTATAAGAGAAGTCACAAATTGTGCACCTTCTCTGGGGGCAGCTACCTGTGTAAGCATGACATATATTTACTAACGAATACGCATGCCATTCCTCCAAGTAAACTTAGCATTAAATTATTCAAACAGAGGTATATTAAGTGACAAATTAACATCAAATGAGAAGCAATGCACAAATGTCACATATGTATGCTTAATCACGAAATTGAATGCACGAATACATATCACCGTCTGTCCAGCGCGAATTTGAATGCTCTTTGCACGCTTTTCTAAATTGAATGCTCATTTTGCACAACTCCGTGACAAGAGTATGAAATCGCATGGTACTAAATTAAATTGAATGACGCAATTAGCTTTTTGAATGTTGGTCTACATAGTCATTCAATTTCGCACAAACTTGAATGAACGTAACGTTAATTCGGATGCTAAGTTTGCGAAGTTGGGCGGGAAAACCTATTAGAAAACAATCACCGCCATTCGAGGCCAATATGTAATGCTAAAATGCAACCAAACGAAAAACAAAGCAACACAAAAGAAAGAAAATGGCCTCCAAAGTTTACGACGTAACTTTGTCATTACAAACAATTATTCAAACATGACAATGATGAAGCTCGACTTATCTGAAAGCTAATGCTAATAACAAATATCGAATTTTTCATTCATGTATAAACATGCAAATGAACCGAGAGAAGAAAGAAAGAAAGAAGAAAATGGCCACCAATTAAGAGGAAGACCCACGAGAAGAAAACAGAAAAGAAAAGAAGAAGAACACCAAGGGTATTAAAAAGGAGAAAGGGTTAAATAAAATTCGACAAGATAGTGAATGATATTTATAGGTGCTGGACTTGTTAAAAACTAGTTCAGCAGGTTAAAACTAGTCAAGCAGGGCGACTAGTTTGGTATGCAGCTTTATGCTACTCCAGCAGTCTTGACGAACCTGCCCGACTAGTTTGAGGTTAGTCCAGCTTTCGCCTGACTAGTTTAGGCAGATCTGAGTTTAAGTTTCTGTTTAGATTAAGGCTATTAAACTTGAATGATGCTGTTTAGAAATTAAAAGAACTTGATTATTTTTTAATGGGTAAAAATAGAATATTTGTAAATATTGTATAAAAGTAAGAAATATGTTTTTTGTTTCTTTACAGTTAATACGGTTTGATAGACATTTGTTTACAAGGATGTGGGGAGATTGTGAAAATATATAGGAGTGAAAAATTCAAAGACTTTAAGAATATCGCACTAAACGCACGTCTACTGGTATTGATTGATCAGACTGTACATTGAGTTGAGTTTGAAGTTTATTACCCAAACAAAAGTACATCAATATAAAAATCATATGTGAATGGTTAACATTGAAAGGATAAATGGGACCAGAAAATAGCATTTAATGTTAATCGTGTCTGGTACCACTAACACACAAAAGTATAACAGCAATGAATGAGAATGAAATGAATAAATATGAATAACTATGAATACATACTTAAGCTACAAGCTATTCTACATCTATAGGGTAAATATGTTTTGTGATTAAATACAAAGCTTTGGTATTTTACACTAAATAAAAGATAAAGAATTATATAACATAATATTTACAAAAATATATGTAATTTACTAGTGTCATTTCTGTGTTGTTAACACTCCTTTCAAATTTCTAAGTTCAGAATATAAAGATTGATGTGATGCAAGTAAGTTTTAAAAGCAATGAATTATATGAAGTGTTAACCTTCAAATGTTAGTGTATTGGCCCTCCAATATTCATCTTGCGATGGCACTACGTGGAACTATCAACTATATAACGTATTGACCTCTCAAGAGAATTATAAGAAGTTTGATTATTGTAATTAAATGATTCCCTTCACTTGTTACACCACGTATACATGTATAACACAGTCGTTATTTCCTTGACGGTCCTTAGAGAGTTTTGTCAGCCGGCTTTAATCATTGTCATTGTTGACATACTTTGACGGAAATCAGCTTAATTTTATTTTTGATGAATAATAGAGACATTGTGGCAATATAAGAACATAAAGATGCTGGTAGGCCATAGGGTTGAATTTCTATTTGACAATGTGCAATATTCGATATCATATTTTCAGATGTCGAGGAATTTGCTGAAATACATAATTTCGTTTTTAGTATTTGAATGACACAAATCTCTTTACTCCGCTGCTCTCTTGTGCGAGTATTTTCAATTTTTGTTTTATTCCAGGTTAAATGTTTACCACTTTTAGTTGACTATGTATCAAAATATTATGTGGTCTTTCTTAGATTCTTTGAGCTGTTGATTTGTCAAAAAATTGAGAAGAGGTGCAATAAATTTGATCCGCGCATTAACTTTACGTCGACGGTTGTTTATTTTAGTTTCAAAGAAAGACTGATGCCAGTTATAAGTCTATGCCACAAGTAGATAAAAACGATTATTTGATGTACAAATGTATTCGTGTATCTGTATGGTTTAATGCCAAGGTCGTTATGTTGCTAACCAATACATTTCAATGGGATATGACGTAGGCATTATGTAGGTCATAAAAGCGAGCAAAGAGGTAAAGTATGATGAATGATCTTTTAAGAGGGAAGCTTACAATTTTTGTTAAGCATCCCTTTCATATTTAAGGTTATATTTCCTCCGAAGATGGACGGCGCTTCTTCTCTTTTTGTTGGACATGCAGATTAACAACTATTCTTGGCGATGTTTGAAGGGCTCGCTCTCTATGAATGTAATACATGTTTGTACTGAAATAAGCTGATTATAAAGACAATAGGGGGAAATAAGACGGCGTTCATAAAAGGGATTGTAACTCGTTTTCTCTCTGGAGAGAGAAAGATAGAGAGATATAGAGAGTATCGTACCTATTGTGCGTCAGGAATTTCGACATATCGAAAATGTAAACCATGACAAAAACAAGTTGCATTCATTTATCTTTTAAGAGCGTTAGGCAAGCAATTCATGATTTAAAAGGCCCGTTGCTGGCTTGTCATCTTTTAGAATCGTAACTGAGAAAGTTCTTGTAAGTATACATTTAATTAAGAAAATTTCAGTTTTGTTATACTTTCTGTAAAACGGTATTGTCTTGGTTAAATAAAGAGCCATTTAATGGATCACACGTTTATTTTCTCCTGTATCTTGCTCACTCAAAGCACAAAGAAAGCATCAAAGTCTTCAAAAATTCCCTGAACAATATAGGTCGAATTATACGACGATAAACACTACCATATAGCTGCCTACGAGTAGTTTCAATGGTAGTGCATTGTCTCTTTTTGTTCGATCATTCCTCGTTTCTGCAATTATAGTTGACATAATATAATAGCGTATAGTTTTCTGTTTTTAAAGATAATTGTTTCAATGTTACAAAAAACATGAAATGTATTGGACTGTATCTCAAAAAAGTATAACACATCACATCCAATCGCATAACTCTGCAACACAGTGGAACATTCTAAGAAAATTTATCTGCAAAATGTACCTCGTGATAATATAAGACGTAACGTATCCTGCACTAAGGGCTTTAAAGCATTTCCGGAATACAAAAGAGAAAACTACATTTCTCGATAGGTTCAACAAATATATTTGCAGCCGCATACAATGTAGAGTCAATGGCAGCTGATTGGCTAGTTTGGTAGTGACGTGGAGGGAGCTACGTTTGCGCTAGAGCAGTCTAGCGAGCGAAAATGAGACTACCGGAACTATAATTATGGTAAAACGGTATTGCCCTTATTCTATATAAAGAGCCATCTGATGGGTCATTCCTGCATTTTGTCCTGTATGTTGCTTACTCGGAGCAAACGGAAATCAGCAAAGTCTCCAAAAGTTCCTTGAACAAAAGGTCGAATCGCTATATTAAAGGCCTCACACTTTGAACGCCTCGAGTAAAAAAAAGTGGCGGCCAAACCTAACACAGATCAGACGGGACGTCAAGTTTTCAACAGAATCTGTTACAACCATCCTTACAAAAAAGGTAGGCAAAAGGTCGTGCCATAACCTGTTAATTTTACTACTTTACTGATAAATGTTTTCATATTATTTTACATGCAAAGTTTTCATGGAAAATAATTATGGGAAGCGCAACGATCGATGTCCAGCTGAATCCTTGGACCCTTTAGATGGCAATTCAGATACGGATACCAATGAAACGATTAGAACGTGTAGGGAAAGGTTTTCATTAGTTTTATATCGTCTATAATGTCGATGACAATTTTTCACAATTATGATGATTTATTGTACACTCTATATCCAACGTATTTCAGACATGGCGAATGTGATCCCGGTGATTGTCCATGGAGTGATGCTCTTGTGTTTAGCTATTCCATTCTTCATCGTTTCACATGGTGATGATCAGACCACCAGTACAACTACACCTAATCCGCTTTTTAGCCCAACCCAAGTACTGACCTCATATAGCATATCTGAAGTTTCCTACTATAGCATGGAAGACACAAAAAAGGAGGTTTTTACAGCCTATGACTACGACATGACGACATTCGAGACAGGTACAAACACCGATGATGGTGACAGTGTCTTTAAGTCAAGTGGAACGTGGTCCTGGTACCCAATGTCGTGGCCGTGGACTTCGATTCTCCGACTGAATTCCGCCATCATCGGCATCATCGGGAATGCCATCGTCATCATCGTCGTTTTTAACCGTCGAGTCTCTAAAAACTCCACCGATATCCTGATCGGGTCCCTGGCTGTGGCTGATCTCTTATCTTCTATAGCCATCATCCCTGTTCCTAGGATCAAGTACGTTCCATTGACATGGCTTGGTGAGGTCTACTGTCGAGTAGTCAACGGGCAGATCTTCATGTGGTTTTTCGTCAACGTATCCATCTTCATTTTAACCGCCATTTCTGTAGAGAGATATGTCGCGGTCATATACCCTTTCACATTTAGACGTATCTTCTCGATGCGTCGTACGACAGTCTACATCATTCTCATATGGACGGCCTGCGTCATCAATTATGTCATCTGGTTCTATTTCTTTATCAAGGTACACCACGCTACTCACACATGTCAGGTGCCAACAGACCCACCGTCCCTTCGGCTTCTTGGTGGATTGTCACAGGTCGTATTCAAATTCATCTGTCCTCTATTCGTCATGGTGATCACCCAAGCAATGATCATCATCACCTTGCATCGTCAGGCGAAGCGCTTCAAGTTCATAAACGGCTCCAAAGAAAAAACAACCCATGCCATAAAGTCACATGATGCTAAAAGAAGAGTCATCAAAATGTTGCTTTTGGTAGTCCTCACTTTTATGGTATGTTGGTCCCCTAGTCAAACGTCATTCCTCCTTTACAGCGCACAGATCATCGGTCCTAGGTACCTCTATAGTCCTCTGAATCGTATCTTTACAGTCATGGGGTTCTACAATTCCTGTGCTAACCCTATTATCTATACGATCAGCAATGCCAAATTCAGACTTGCCGTCAAGAACGTGTTGACGCGAAAAGGTAGCGATAATATATCTGTTTTTGGAATCAAACCGGAAACAGATAACCCTGATACCGTTATGTCGTCTGTCCACAGCGCTTGAAATCTGCCGAATACAGTCTAATCAACCTCTTTGGTCCAATGTAGACATGCGGGACTGTTTTACCCTCATGCCCGTTACAAACGACACACGAGGCGTTATTTGCTGACGTAGGAATGCGCGCCTTATTGACGCAATCTTTGAGGCGCCGCGTCAGAATGACATATCACAAAAAGTAACTGTAAAATAAACACTGCAACTATTCCGTTGAATTACTGACACGTATTTCTTTGTCAATTGTTGCGTCAACACTGATTACCGTTCCTAGATAGGTGAACTGTGGAGTTGAATTCATAGAATGGCCATCCAGATTTACAAACAGGATCCTAAGCAGGCTGACCAGGAATGGGTTGAAATAATACCTGTGTCTTCTTGAAGCTGTACATGTATACATGTATACATGTATACATGTATACATGTATTATCTTGTGTTTACTATGTCATTATTTCTGTAAAGCGCTTCGAGCAATTCGTTGGATGTTGCGCTATATAAAAGACAATTGTATGTATGTATGTATAGACCAATATTATTTACTGCGCTTGCAAATTTATGAAAAAGGTTCTATGGACTTTGGCCTAGGAGTGAGCAATCTATGCACAGTCATCCGTGTTCTTTCATCAGTCTTTCTGTAACCCTCGTCTTGGCCCTTAATCAGGAAAGGTTAGCTGACCTGTACGGAAATGGATTGCAACAACTTCTGTGCAGTTTTTCATAGCTTCTTATAGCATGGCTGCTTGAACCCGTTGGTGATAAGAAATGATTCTGAGAGTTCACCGTCAAGGCATACTCTAACAACCATGCCACCATGAAGCTGCTAAAGAATGTCTATAGTTTTGTCAGGACAACCAAATTTTTCAAGTACCTTCCACCGTGCAAGTCGGCTGGCGCTGTTGAATGCCTTGGTAAAATCAACGAAGACAATGTACAGTAGCATCTTTTGTTCTCGGCATTTTTCTAGGATTTGCAGGGCGGTAAACATCATGTCTGCAGTACCTCTGAGGTTCGACAAGTAAGCCACACTGTGGTTCTGAAAGTTCTTTATCAGTTAGTTGGTCAATCTGTCTGGACAAGAGTAGTCTGGACATTCCATTTTCATAGCCTTTGAGAGCAGAGAAATCACTGTCATTTCCAGAATCACTCTCCCGTCCTTTCCCTTATAGTGAAGCTTGATGATGTTAGCATCATTCTTTATGCTGCTAGTGGACAATGTCAGCATCCCAGATGTGTTGGATGAACGACGCCTCGTGTACAATGAGAATAACAGTTATAAACTGGAGGGCGTTTCATGTCATGGCCGGCAAAGGACAGTAAGTGTTATAAGCTTCTGAAATCCTTGCTTCTGATTGGTTATCAACAGATTTGTCACTGATTTTTGTAATTTGTCATTGAGAAAAGGCTTTGTGAAACGGGTCCCAGTTTTATATATTCACTCGTGATGAACGGAGTGCAAATATTACTTGAATCAGATACCTTGGGTCTTTGAATGTCTTAAACCCTTTAAACTATAATTAAGTTCATTGTACTTTGTTAAAAATGTAAGTTATAATATCGAGGGTAGACTGATCTTACTTTACTTTTGAAGGGGTGGTGTCATAACGGCTTACTGTGATACAGACTTTTTCTGGCTTCTCATTTATCTTTAAAACAAATGTATTTGTCATTATTGTTCTTACGTTGTGCATGTACATAATAAATGTATATACTATAGATATGCAGTCATGATGGTACAATATTATTCAAAATGCTGCAATGAAGACAAGATTCCATTTGGTTTGCATGACACGGAAAAATGATCATCAGAGTTATGATTTATAATACATGTATTTCATTTGTTTAATGAACATGAAGTCGTCGGATAAACGGTTTTAAATATTTCCGTTTTGCACAAAATTCGTTTGTCTGTGTTGTAAATAAGGTAAATTCTGATATGTAAATGCTGGAAAATATATAAAGTAATATGTTGTAAATATATTGACTTAGCTTTCGTCAGTATGAGAAGGTAATTTTCTAGATTTCTACTACATGTGAGAAGTTACCTAGCATTGTGAATATGGCGAATGAAGCCATTAATATTCAAGGTTTTGTTTAATCATTAAATCTTAATTACGAAAGTAATTAACTTACTATACCTTATAGCCAGCAGAGTCGATAATAGTGGTTTACATATTTTGATTTGTAAAAATGCTGGAAATGTTTCTTATCTTAGTGCATGTTGTTGTATCGTTCCTTTTATGACTATAATTGCCATCAGTGAGTTTTAACCAAACATTTATAAGAATGCGGAGTGTATAGGTTAGCAGGCGCAAAACATGTCAGGCGTCAACGAAATTGGTCTTAAAGATGGAATTTAATCTAAATACATCCATGACCTCTCTCATTCTTTTCAACGTTGAATGCATGCACACACATAGTATTGGTTTGTTCTTATCAACTATTTTGCTCTAGTAAGTAAGTTAAAAGCGCGGTCCCAGATGAACTTATTTTACTTGACATCTGGAAATATTCAATATTTCGTTCTCTCTTGTCCATCAGCCTAACTTCGTTCCATGTATGGTCATCGCGTCGGGTTACACGACCTTTTGTGAGAAGATACCCCCGTACGCTTATTTCCGAAAGGTCGGATGCTCCGATCACTTTGCCTTCAGCACCATGCATGTTGGATATGTGCGCTATCTAGATATCCAATATTATTATTATTATTACACAATATTTTGGGAAAATGTACTCCTATGTTCACGAAAGGTCCGATTAACTAATTGGATTAATCGCATTTTCTTTTTCTTGAAAGATAAATCTCGAACTAAGGCTAATCTGTTGACATGCACCTTCGTGAAACCATACCCATACAATCAGACAAGGGCGTAGCCATGATTTTTTTAGAGAAGGTGTTTTTAGCCCAATTCGTGAGAAAATATTAAGTGGCGAATCAGCCAGCCGGCGAACAAGCGGGCGGGGAGGGGGGGGGGGGAGGTGAACACTCCTCCCCCTCAACAGCCACCCCCTTTCTAAAACACTCCCCTTTTCCCAAGGGGAGGGGGGGTGCTTGAACACCAAAATCACCCCCCCCCCTCGATACGCCAATGCAATCAGACGATGGTGAAGTGTCGATCGCTGGTCCTTTTACAAGCACCAATGATCATTTTACCTCATATAAAAAATATCAGGTCGAAACGCGAGTTTTCGTAGATTTGCTGTGGGTTTTCTGATTTTGTTATATTTTGTTTTAGCCCGAGGTGGAGGTATAAACCACGACTTCGACTATGGGTTTAATTATAACACCCCTTTCACAAAATCGCGCCATTTACTTCTGGCGTGTTACTTGATGATAGCCCTTGTCATGCCTTCTTGCTATTATAAGAGACATGAATCTAGTATTTGAGGTGTATTTATAATGTTATTTAAGTGCCTAGTAAATATCAAATAAGATTACAAAATGAGGTGACTGATATTTCAACTGACCTTCTGAAAACAGTTAATTGCTCTGCAACGACAAATAAATCTAGCGAAAAACATTCTGCTTGATATAGTATCGATATTTCTGGCGCCTTTATTTAGTTAATACAGGGTGAAAAATTCACCTCGTGATTAATATAAGACGTAACATATCCTACCCTGAGGGCTTAAATGCATTTCCAGAACACAATGGCTACGTTTTCATCCAAAAAGAAAACTAGTTTTCTCGATAGGTTCATAAAATATATTTGCCGCCGCATACAATGTAGCGTCAATGGCAGCTGATTGGCCAGTTTGGTAGTGACGTGGAGGGAGATACGTTTGCGCTAGAGCAGTCTAGCGAGAAAAAATGAGACTACCGAAGCTATGCTTATGGTAAAACGGTATTGCCCTTATTCTATATAAAGAGCCATTTGATGGGTCATTCCTGCATTTTGTCCTGTATGGTGCCTACTCGAAGCAAACGGAAATCAGCAAAGCCTTCAGAAGTTCCTTGAACAAAAGGCCGAATCGCTTTAAGGCCTTACACATTGAACGCCTCGAGTAAAAAAAAAAGTGGCGGCCAAACTTAACACAGATCAGACGGGACGTCCAATTTTCAGCAGAATCTGTTGCGACCATCCTTACAGAAAAGGTAGGCCAAAGGTTGTGTCATAATCTGTTAATTTTGCTACTTTACTGATGGAACATTTTCACGGAAAATAATTATAGATAGATATAGAAAGATATTGATTTATTCGTCAAAAATGTGGAAATATGCTTCTCACCAGCATTACAATTATACAAGAAACAAAGTACAATGATATGAAACATGCAAAACAATTAAGCAAACAATTTCAGAGCAGAAAAAAATCTCGTCATTTCACAGAAATAATTTTTACACCATTATGGGGAAGCACAACGATGCATAGCTGTCCAGATGAATTCTTAGACCCTTCCGATGGCATTTTACATACCATTAAAAGATTAGAATGTGTAGGGAAATGTTTTCTTCACTGTTGTATCTTTTATAATGTTGATGATAATTTTTCACATTTATGATGATTAATGTTATTGTAAAACTTATATCCAACGTATTTCAGACATGGCAAACGTCATTCCAGTGATTGTCCGTGGATGTGTGCTCCTGTGTTTAACCTTTACGTTCTTCGTTGTTTCACATGGTGATAATCAGACCACCATTGCAACTACACCAAATCCGCTTTTTAGCCCAACACAAGTACTGACCTCAAATAACATATCTGAAGTTTCCTACTATAGCATAGGAGACACAGAAAAGGAGGATTTTACAGCCTATGACTACGACATGACGACACTTGAGACAGGTACAAACACCAATGATGGTGACAGTGTCTTAAGGTCAAGAGGAACGTGGTCCTGGTACCCAATGTCGTGGTCGTGGACTTCGATTCTACGACTGAATTCCGCCATCATCGGCGTCATCGGGAATGCCATCGTCATCATTGTCGTCTTCAATCGTCGAGTCTCTAAAAACTCCACCGATATCCTGATCGGGTCCCTGGCTGTGGCTGATCTATTATCTTCTATAGCCATCATTCCTGTCCCTAGGATCAAGTACGTCCCATCGACATGGCTTGGTGAGGTCTACTGTCGAGTAGTCAACGGGCAGATCTTCATGTGGTTTTTCGTCAACGTATCCATCTTCATTTTAACCGCCATTTCTGTAGAGAGATATGTCGCAGTCATATATCCTTTCACATTTCGACGCATCTTCTCGATGCGACGTACGACGGTCTACATCATTCTCATATGGACGGCCTGTGCCATCAATTATGTCACCTTCTTCTATTTTTTCATCAAGGTAAACCACGCTACCCACAATTGTCATTTGCCACTATCCCTACCGTCCTCACGGCTTCTTGCTGGATTGTCACAGGTCGTATTCAAATTCATCTGTCCTCTTTTCGTCATGGTTATCACCCAAGCAATGATCATCATCACCTTGCATCGTCAGGCGAAGCGCTTCAAGTTCATGAACGGCTCCAAAGAAAGGACAACCCATGCCATAAGGTCACACGATGCCAAACGTAGAGTCATCAAAATGTTGCTACTGGTAGTCCTCACTTTCATGGTATGTTGGTCCCCTAATCAAATATCATTCCTCCTTTACAGCGCACAGATCATTGGTCCTTGGTACCTCTATAGTCCTCTGGATCGTATCTTTACAGTCATGGGGTTCTACAATTCCTGTGCTAACCCTATTATCTATACGATCAGCAATGCCAAATTCAGACTTGCCGTCAAGAACGTGTTGACGCGAAAAGGTAGCGATAATATATCTGTATTTGGAATCAAACCGGAAATAGATAACCCTGACACCGTTATGTCGTCTTCCCATAGCGCTTGAAAACTCCCAAATACAGTCGAGTGTAGAAATGTGGGTCTGTATTACCCTCATGTCCGTTGCAAACGACACACGAGGCGTTATTTGCTGACGTAGGACTGCGCAATTGGCGCAGTCTTTGAGGCGCCACATTAGAGTGACATTGTACAAAAAGTAACTGTAAAATGAACACTGCAACCAATCTTGTTGAATTATTGGCAAATGCACCGATTCCCTTCTAAACGTAATAATTTCTAATTAGCGTAGTTAGAACGCAAGAGAATGACGTAAGACTTTGTCAGCGCCTGGCGCGGTCTTTGACGATGTGAAGGCGACATCGCACGAAAAAGTGTATGCAACTCTGCAGTTATTATTTGAAATTACAGATGATTGGCTCATTGCCTTCACAGGATCCATTTGTTGAGGTATACTATTAACGCAATTTTGAATGACGCCTCATGTGGTTCCTGTCCATCTTAACGATGATGACGTCTTCATATATTAAGTCATGTGTCTCGGAATTGCAGTGTGGTTATCAAGTGGAGGTCACGCAGCATGCAAACACGGTTAAGTAGACAGCTATGCGCTGCACTGACCTTGGCATTTATGACATGTATTTCTTTGTCAATTGTTGCGTCAACACTGATTACCGTTCCTAGATAGGTGAATTGTGGAGTTTGATTGATACGATGGCCATCCAGATTTACAAACAGGATCCTGAGCAGGCTGACCAAGAAGGGGTTGAAAAAATACCTGTGTATTCTTGAAGCTGATAGACCAATATTCTTTACAGCGCTTGCAAATTTATGAAAGAGTTCTATGAACTTTGGCCTAGGAGTGAGCCATCTGTGCACGGTCATCCGCGTTCTTTCATCAGCCTTTCTGTAACCTTCGTATTGGTCCTTAATTGGGAAAGGTTAGCTGACCTGTACGGAAATGGATTGCAACACCTTCTGTGCAGTTTTTTAGAGCTTCTTACATCATGGCTGCTTGAACCCGTTGGTGATAAGAAATGATTCTGAGAGTTCGCCGTCAAGGCATACTTTACCAACCATGCCACAATGAAGCTGCCAAAGATTTCTCACAACATTGTACATAAACTCTGATATTTAAATGCTGGAATACATAAAACTAATTATGTTGTAAACATATTGGCTTAGCTTTCGTTAGTATAAGAAGCTAAATTTTGTAGATTTCTACTGAGTTGTAAGATGTAATAAATTACCTAGCATAGCGAATATGGCGTATGAAGCTATTTATTTTCTCAAGGTTTTGTATAATCATTAAATCTTACTTGAAATGCTGGAAACTGTTTATTATCTTACTGCTTGTTGCTTTATAGTTCCTTTTATGATGATAATTGCCATCAGTGATTTTAACTAAACATTTATAAGACATTAATGGAATGGGAGTCTCAATAAGGAGGCGCAAAACGTGTCAGGCGTGAATGCAATTTTTCTTAAAAGGTAGAAAAGTATACATGCACACAAATATTATTGTTTGTTCTTCTCAACCATTTTGCTCTAGTGTGTAAGTTAAAGGGATCGTTTAACAATGTTAAATCTGATATACACGGCCCTACGTGTTATCAGTGTCTGTGATATGGTGTAATATTGAAGCCCTAAAAAATTGCTCCAAAATGATCAAGAAGTGCCTCAAAAAAGTAAAAATCTTTGAGTGACCGGTTTTACCATACTCGTTTCCCCCAATAGACTGTAGTGTTATGAAACCGTCAGGCGAACGGTTTTCAAAATTTGTAATTCCAATCATAAATATCTTGATAATCAGACAGGCGATCGGCTTGTAAAAGTCATGGGGTTCCTGACTGACCTAAAGGTTTATAATTTTCATTGCATGATGAGCTAAATCCAGAATTTTGTTTCAGAATCTGAGACAAAGTTACCTGAATAGTTGAGGAAAGGGAAAAATGAGGTTTGGGAGTCCAGCCGTAAATGGAGATATTAAGCTGTGAAGCTTATTTATTCGATCTGTAAAGACAGATAAAATAACAATGACAGATTTAGTATATCATTCATGTTACACAAGAATGCAATATATAATCCAAATTATCTGAACAAACCAAGTAACTGTATCTATAAAGATTCATTTAAACACATTTGCTTTTGTTCTATAAACTGTCAATCTTGACCTCGTCCTTTAACTATCAAAAACTCAGAGTAACCAATGGCTACAAAACTTATGCATTCACTAATTTGCATTACTTTGATGAACTCATATTTTCAGAGTTTCTCAAAATGACCTGACTCTCCTTTAAACAGATTACTTCCACTTTGCATAAACCAAAAATAACTGTAAACATCTCTATCTTGCATCCATACACCAGCTTGATTATTCACTTAATTTAATTTGCATATTTATGCTCGCCTAAGAAAAACTGTCTTATAAAATGACTTCATACAATTTAACCCTGTTTGATGAATTAAACTTAAATATCTGACTTGCATAAAACTTCCCAGTAATAATCTAGAGATTACACTTTAATACAAAATAAACTATCTGGCATAACTTGTAATTTACACCTGTAATTTACATCTGTAATCTACTCCTGTAATCCACACATGCACTACAGCAAGCCTTTCAAGTTACATTATTAACTCTTAAAAATGATTAAACACCGTCTTCAATTCTGACTCTAAATACCATGCCAGAGGTGCAAAGCTTAACCTTTCACCAAGTCAATAAATGGTGTCTTGCAACTTTTAAGCAAGCTAAATCAAATTCCACAGACTAACTTTTGTCACCCAAACAAACTGCATAAAATCCAAGATTCTAGCATGCACAATAATATAAACATCCTTTATTTTTAGGACTTCTACATATATACACTGTTTACTCTATAAATGACATAACACAATATTTGCCTAATATTGTAATTCTGTTTTGACAATTATCATTTAACTGGAAAAACACAAGACGAAAAGTACGTGTCATGGGCGCGGCCATTTTAGGCGCAGCCATCTTGGGATTAATGCCACACGTGCATTATGCAAATGAGTTAAATACAGTTCTTTAGAATTCGTTTTACAGTTCAACTTGAATCTATCTTATTTTCCGTTTTAAGAGTTCACATTCCCGTTTATATTAATCTAAACACTCACTTCTGTGGCGGGACAAAACTTCGTCGGGAATACTTCTATGACAACTGAAAGGGGTTAACTGGGAAACTAGTGAAACTTGACTACATTTCTGACTGTGCACTGCGTTGACTGAAGAACATGGCGACAGTGCCGAACTTAACCTATGGTAGCTTATAAGAGCAAAAAAGAGAAAATCTAAACCAAGCAAAAATCATCGCTCGGTGAAAGTGCCTGGTCTCAGATGAACTTATTTTGCTTGACATCTCTTTCTCTTTCTCTCTTGTCAATCAGCCTCATTTCGTTCCATCTGGTCATTACGACCTATTGTGAGAAGATACCCCCGTACGCGTATTTCCGAAAGGTCGGATGCTTCGATCACATTGTCTTGAGCACCATGCATGTTGGATATGTGCGCTATATAAATATCCAATATTATTATTATTATTACACAATATTTTGTGAAAATGTACTCCTATATTCACGAAAGGTCCGGTTGACTGATTGGATATCATTTTCACATTATAATTTCTTCAAAGATGAGCCTCGAATTAAGGCTAATATTTTGATATGTGCATTCGTGAAAATAAACCCAGACAATGACAAAGTGCCGATCGCTAGTCGTCTTAGAAACACTTATGATCATTTGACCTTTATCAAAAAGTGTCAGGTCAAGACGCGAGTTTATTCGAAGATTTGCTGTGGGTTATCTGATTATTTGTTTTTGGTAGATTTTTTGTTTAGCCCAAGGTGGAGGTATAATCCACGACTTCGACTATGGCCGGGTTGATTACACCTCCTTCATGAATTCGCGCCATTTACTTCTTACGTGATTCTTGATGAAAGCCCCTTTTATGCTTTCTTGCTAGTAAAAGAGACATGAACCTAGTATGTGAGGTGTATGTATAATGTTATTGAATTGCCTTGCAAATCTCAAAGATTACAAAACGAGGTGACCTATATATTAACTGAGCTTCTGAAACAGTTTTTTTTTTCTCTGCAGCGGCAAATAAATCTAGCGACAAACATTCTGCTTGATATAGTCTGTATATTTCTGGCGGAAATTATTTCGTTAATACAGGGTGAAAAATAGAGTGCATCACTTTTTAATAGAAAATCTATAGAAGTGGGGCACCAGTTAAATTTACTCACATTTTACATCGCCCTATTATTATTCCAGCAAATAACAACTAGCGGTGCGTATGTTATTGAAGGCAATTATAGAATGAACATTATTTCGATTACGAGGAAGGACTGGCAAGGTGAATGTTTGACGGCCGAGATTGATCGATTTAATTTTTTTTTAAGTTAAGAATTACAAAGTTGAGAATAACAAACTTTCTTGCAGATGCACAGTTTCAAAGACTGGTGTCGCTCCTTTCGCCAGTACGTTACAAAGATGTTTTTGTTTAAATCACAAAATGTTTTGAAGAAAAAAAATTGCATTGAATTAAATTTGATAATAGTGGAAGGAGTTTGAACATTCGTGATATTCAACACAGGTAGGGGAAAGTCGATCAAGGCACGTATTTAAGTAGGCTGTGACGTAGCAGTGATATGAGGAACAAGAGCGTAATTTGTTTCAATCCTTGAACAAAAATAAAACTGAAAATTGATAGAAATGGGGCAACTGGTGTATTTGCTCACATACATTGCAATGTCCGTCGTCTTGGAATTGTTTAAATAAGCATTGACTGGAAAAGAAATTTAATTAAGAATTGCACCAGATCTACGTGTTTTCTAGTTTAGATGTAGCGTTAAGCATGTGAGATGGATCGTTTTCATCCACCGTAGTTTTTTTTAAATACAAGGAATTTCTTATTCGGTGCACACAAAAAAAGTTGTACCCATCGGGCAGGAGAGGGCTTTATTTGCAAAGCTGAAGATTCTTCATTATTTTAGGCTTTCCACCAACCTCCAAACATGTAT